GTCGTCAGATTGAAATCATCGCCCACTCGTTGTTGAGGATTGAAACAAAATCCGAAACAGAAAGAGATTAATTTGGAAAAACTGAATTGAACGAGAATGAACGAAGGCGTTATTAATTCGATTACTTCGTAATTTCTCGCGTTCAAACCTTCGTGCGGAATCGCAATGAATTACCGACCAATTAAGTCCCTCAATTAAATCAAATCGCGCGGCTGAAAACATCTGCAATTTGAAATACTCTTTCCGGGGATAATCACTATACTCCACCAATTATCCCCTAATCATCGTTACGTCGCGACGGAAATATTGCGGCAAAAATCACGATAGTTTTTGTCTTCGGAATATATCAACGGTTACGGTGATACTTTTATTAAAAAATATTACATACGCGCGCGAGAACGGATTACTTACTTATTATTTGAACTATTTAATTAAAGAGTTGTGTAATTAGTACGACGCAGAGGCGCTCGCAATCCCAACGATCTTCGCCTCGCGACTTACGGTCATTCAGGAAAACCTTCGTTCCGCGGCCTTTGTTCCCCCAGTGCCTATAATACATACGATTGCATAGTCGTGTCGAGCGTACAAAAACACGAACGCGCCGGGCTCATTACGCGTGCGTTCACGTCGCCGTCACGTGAAAGAGAAGCGTGTTTTTTCCTTCCTGATTACCATACGCGCACGTTCATTCGAGCTAATCGCAGCCGCCCGGCCTCTTTCTTTCGGCCGGCAGGTTCAAGGCGGTTTGCTCTCGCGTATCCTTATCCTCGTCCCGTCGAATCACATCTTTGGCAATATCACGGAGCGTATACTTGAATTCGATGATATTTAAATTCGCAAATTTGCCGGATTGGACTCTCGCTCTCCACGGACGAAGTACAGAGTCCCCGAGAGAGAGAGAGAGAGAGAGAGAGAGAGAGAGAGAGAGAGAAATTGAGGTCGGCGTTATGTAATGGAAACCTTACGAAAGATTGATTATAATGTAATTAACATTAAGAGCTTCTCTAACGAATTAAGATTTGTTAACCGATTTCTTTTAGAAGCAAAAGTGGAACAATAGCGTTTTAATTATGAAACAGTTGCCTCAGGCTTGATTCTCTTCACGTCGGGTGTATATATGGCACCTGATGAAATCGAGGCGACATAGAAAAGCTAGGAAGAAAGGAAAGGGAGAAATGTCATTAGAATTTGTCTTATGAATTTAAATAAAATGGAGATTATTTTTTGTGAACTTGCTAGAAGAAGCTAGGAGAGATTAGACTATAGTTTTTAATAATATTAATATAATCTCAAAGAAATGGGTTCCGCGAGTTTAACGAACATTACTCATTCGCTAGCGTAAAATTGATATAGTCGCCTAATTTACATGAGTTGTCGTTTCGGTTTACAGGAGTAACATCTCGTTGTCCCGCCACAGCCTGTGCGGAAGCGTGGACGACGGTCTGCAGGGCTCGCATCCCCAGTACCAGGATACGATCCTGACGATCGAGGAGCTGCGCGCTCAGCTGAACTCCTGCTTTACGTAAGTTGATTTTTGCTCCGTTTGTTTTTTTTCACATCGTCATGTACGAATCGGTTATACGCGGATCCGCGACGGACCGTGGGACTCGTGGGAGTTGATCGGCGGATTACGCAACCATCACGTTATCGAGTGACGTGTCACTGGACAATAGAATCCAGTACGATCCGGAGTCACGGCGGCGGCTCCAATTCGTCGCGTCGCGACGCGTTTAATTTCGCTAATTCGGGAGAGAAATGTCCCTCTTAATGGGGACGTTATTACTCTTCTTGGCTCGTCGTGGCCAGAAGTCGACGAGGAGGCGAAATCGATTCGGCCCCTCGGAGCCGTTTGAAATTTCGACACAAATTCGCATTGTCGCGCGAATGCATGAGTGTGTCGAGCGTTTGGGGGACGTTTATCGGCGCGAAATCCAAGAAACGAGGCTAGTAGGTATGCCCAGTGCTTATCTGGTGACGGTTGACGCGGTTATTCCGATAAATCGATGCCCTACATCGGGCACATGCAGGCCTCGAGATATGCAACGTACGGTATTTCTGTGAAATATTCGCGTGGGCCGCGCCGTATCTCGACTAATCAAAAGCGGTAATCAAAAGCACATTCGACGTTCCAGAGAGATATTTCTTCGTCCGACAGAAAATTCTCGTTTGCCCGTTGATCTGACGCATCTACCGATTAATATATAATTTTGCGCAGTTCTCCCATCGTAATTCTCCCACCGGTATCATTTGAACAGTATAATTTCGCTATGTATTATCCCTGTCGCGGTATCGACGAGCAAATCTCGCGTAAACCGGATGAGCTGATCGAATTGTTAAACCGCGTACGACCTTGCTTCTCTAAAAGACCGTCCTGCCGACGATATAGTTTTGCGATGCAAATCACTCCCTGCAGGAGTTCTCCCGCGAGCGAATATCGCATCGTTGTGCCGCGCGTCTTCCGGCCGCGTGTCACGCCTCTCTGTTATTAGCATAATCGCGTGTGCATTCGCCCGACGATTCATTATCGTTATCTTGTTCTCTGCGCAGGTGCGGGGTATCGTGGAGCGAGGAGCACGTCTCCCTGGACTGCAGCGAGTGCGGCGGCTACTCCCTGCAACGGCCGTGCCCGCTCTGTGATGGGCGGTGCCACACGGCGTGGAAGCGCGACCTCACCATGGTAAATATCCGACCCTCGACCCTGTCTCCTCCGAAAAGAACCGATAAATTTCTCCGGGTTGTCATTAACTTCCGTTCGATTTCCTTCTCATTAAATCGTTGATTAAATTTGACACTTATTTTTATTTATTTTCTTTTTAATCTTTCCGACAGTAAACATCAAATTTTTTTGTGAGTTGATTGAAAGACAAGGATTCGTATATTGTAATTTATGATTCGGTAATAATTTTGGGTTTGGCTGTATTTTTTGCTGTTAAAATTGCGTATAAGTTTTTTTCCAATTTTGAGCCGAAGATCAGAAAGCAAATAGCGACTTAATTTACGAGGTCGTCCCTGTTCTCGTTGCAGTCCCACGCGAGTGGTAAGGCGAGATGGATCGGTGAGTGTGGGCTGAGCTGCGGACCGTCCCTTGAGGAATCGCTGGTGCCCGCGTTGGAGAAGCTGCGGGCCACCTCGTGAACGGCGCTGGCCCGAGCACCGCCAACCAAGCACAAGACTTAAATCCATCACCATCCATCTAGCGTCACCCACTACCATCGTGTGCGAGACCCAAGAGCGAAAGAAGTGAGAGAGAAAGAGAAACGTGTGAATGCAGACCGTGAATGATATGCATTATGTTCCTGAGAAGGGCGGCTAACAAGGGAAAGAAGGACCTTTCGGGCCCTTCCTCGTGGGCTTCTTCCCCGAAGATACAAAGGCGTACCCAGCTGGTCCCTCGACATCGGGAACCACCGTCGTCGTTTATTCTCGTCTTTCAGGACGAAAGTACAAAGTTAAGCGATCGACGTTCGAATTCTACAAAGAATTTCTACGTTATACAGAACGATTAACTACGTTGTAGCGAACTGCTCGAACCGAGAACGGATTCCAATTTACTTTCAGGATTTTACACCTGTGCCGCGAAGTTCATTTCGATTTCTTCTCCAGCGAGATTTCTGCTCAGAAGATTGCACTAACAATTTCTATTAGGAAATAGAATTTGATCTTTTTGTTGGGCGATTTCCGCTGATATGAAATTACATTTTTGCTACGAAAAAAAACTTCTTTACAAAGTTGAGAAATAGATAATTTGCCAAAGAGGAATCTTTCTGTTCGAGAATATGTCGACGTATCCATGAAACAGATTTGATTGTTTTTTTAATATTTTTGGATTGCAGATTGTCTTAAGTTTAGAGCAGAAATATGTATATAATATAAGCGTAAAAAAAATGAATCGGAATATTCGGAATATATTTTGGAAATTTTTCTTTCTCAATTTATTCAGTTTGAATCACTTAAAATCTTTTTCCAATTTGTGTATATAAAATACAAAATGTGAAACCACGCGATGAAAAATAAGAGAGTGTAATCTCAGTTTATGTGAGACGGAGCATTTTGTCTTTAGACTTGATTAGTATTATACGAATAATATTTTAGAATTACAACAGCCAATGTCTTTGTGTAAAATAACTTTGGTAGTCGTGATTCCGAAATGTTTTTATACCATTCGGTTTGGCCGTTGTGATAATTATTTATCTTGAATTATTTGCCACTTGCACACTTAGCAGAATTGAATTTTTCGATGTAACTTCCGTTTTATGCACCTGAATCGGTTAGTTTAGAAAACGGCGTAAATCCATACTTTTCCCAAATTAAAACGGTCAAAAGAGTTTTTACGAAAATATTTATTCTAAAGATTTTTATATTGTACGTGTAAATAATATACTAACGTCCTTATCTCATTATTAGTTGTCATTTGGAGGCGATTTTTATACATATTTCATAAATAAAATCCATTTTAAAACAATTTTAATTTCTAGACTCAAAGCACTTAAAAAAACAACCGATTCACTTGCGAAAAATTCGATTTCTTACCGCGGATTGATTATTACGAATGTTTTCCAATTTTTTTGTATCAACCAAAATTGCCATAACATTTTTCCGAAGCGCGAGATTCGCATGAGCTAATAACGTCGCACTTCGGAAAACATACACGGTATAGTTCAAATATTCGGTCGTTCCTACAACGATGCGCGAGAAGCCCGACCTTCACTTTACTTTTTTACGTAACGGAAGTTACACCTCGGCCTCTCTGTCGCGCGAAGGAGCGCGAGTTTGCATTACGAGAATCATAGGATAATTATTAGGCGACAATTTAATCGATCGAGCGATCTGACGGCGAGAAGCCCGTCCGGGGCCTTTCGCACTGGAGCACGACGTATCGATTTCGTAGGTGATGTTAATCATTCGGTATCCCTCGCTTTTAATTGTCACAACTGTATCATCGGCGAAATAATTCCGAGCTTGCGACTGTATACGATAAAAATTTAGTCAAAGTTTTGCCTCTCTAGCGAGGATTTAGTGTTTAACGTGACGTGATTCAATCGTCATAGCCCTAAGGATCGATAGGCAATCGGTGTGTTACGAATTCGAGAGAAGTTATTTCCACAAATAGCAATTAGAAAGTTTATCGTTCGATGCGTTATTGTACATCTAACATCAAAATTGGTACGGCGAGAAGAGAAATGAAAAAGGTACTTAAATATATGGTTGGTACCGTTTTGCATTGTAATGGAAAAATTATACGAATCTCCCCTGCGTCTATGAAAGTTTAAAAAGAGCCGGTTGTGTATAGCGTTTCTCGACAAAGATACGTCTTGCTCGCTTTAAATCGTCCGCTTTCCTGTCGAGCTTTTTTGCCAAACGGTCGGAGGCGTAGCTCGACCCTCAAGTGCGTGAGAACGTCTCGTTGAGCGCGGTTCCACAATTGTATCGGCACAAAGAAAATTGCGAGTGCCAAAAGCAGGGATCTCATTCTTAAAAAAACAAATATCTAAACGATCAAAATCAAAATTATACAATTATTTATAATCTTTATCTTTAATGCGAATAATATTTATATTTTAAATATCTTAGCGACAGAACGCAGATTTATTGAAATATATTCATAAGTTATACATACAAAATATGATGCGCTTATATCCTATTATTATTACAATGGCACTCGCATAATTTTTTGTGTCAAGTCATGGTTGGAAAGCATTTACGTCGTGCCAATGACTTTTTCGGACTTTTATTGTTTTATAAGAATCCCGCCTGCCGAAGCCTTTCTTAGCGAGATGTAGGAACAAAAAGGATGTTTTCAGACGTTTACCGACTTTCCTCGGTAGCGTATACTATATATATGTATTGCGAGTGCGAGTATACATGCTCATCAAAACATACATCCTCATTTATTAAATTAAACCGTAATGTGTAAAAATTTTCTGGAGTATTAGCTCTTGCGGTGAGCTTTAGTTTAATGCTTTAGAGAAAGTCCTCGGTAGTAGTTTTTATTTAACCTGCGAACTTCTTATTTATGACGAATACTGCAAAAGTATGGGTTTAATAAATACTTGCAAAAAATCCATTGTGACTTGTCAATACGAGTCCCCTTTATCCTTATCCTTGTATAATTTAAGATAATTCCCCGAAAGAGAAGTATGAACCGTGTGTATTTGATATATCTTTATTTTATATTTCTATTATTATCTTCTGCATTAGAGAGGAATATAACACCTTTCGTCTCTCTCATGGAAGTATAATCCTACTTAATTCAAAGCAGTCTCACAAGATTATTTTGTAATCCAGTATTATCTCAAACTACATTATTGTTTATGAAAAATAAATAATCCACTGCTTAATAAATGATTTAGTTTCGCTAGGTAAAAGGTGTATCAACGTTTTATTGACAATTTTCGCGATTTATGTACATTTGCCACCATGCCAAGTAACACGCTCACACGATCTTTTTTTTACAAATCGAGACTATAATGGTATTTTGTATCTCTGTGCCGCGTATTTTACGTAAATCATGTTTTTACGAAGTACATAATATCAGTACAACGCTGGAAGACAACATAAAAGCAGTTTCAATCAATAAAATAGAAATATGCGATTATTTATAAATAATTTTTATATTCGTTATTTTATTTCCTAACGTCTTTTTTTATATTTATCTAATATTTATTACGAAACTTGAGAAAACATTAAAATAACTTTTATTTTTATAAATTATTTTAAAAATAAGATTCTCACTGAAAAAAGAATAAATTAGTAAATAATAATATAGTAATAAATAAACGGTTGTTATAGTTCCATAATATATTCTAGAAAAAAATTAACATTAAAATACCGCTTCTGTTGTCTTTTAGGATATAGTTAAGTATACAGCCGCAACGAAAAAAATATATACGAGAAAAAGCATATTGTCAAATAACTTTTTTAAATATTACGTGCTCATAATCGCATTTAAATAACGCCTACAGATATTCCAATTATTCGATCACTTTTCAAACAAAAACACAAGAGCTTATACGGAGCAATAGCATATCAATTATCATCAATGTTAATTGTCATAAATATTAATTCATTTTTTACTGTCGATTGATTCTTCACAAGAGCATGTATCGCGAAAAGGAGCACTTAAATAAATCAAACAATTCTTGTACATCTCCATAATGACAAAAATACGTAAAAATAAACATCAAATCGATGTCGAGAATGATAATCGTATTAGAGTACAGAGGTACAGCATCAAAGTACCATTACGTGCAACAATAACTTAAAATATCAACGCTCTATTTATAAATAAAAATTACAAAGGTTTATCATAATTTCCAATAAACACTCAGATGGTGTACAGGAGGTAAATAATTATTTTAAGAAACAGAGCTTATTAAGATCTCCTGTCAGCGGAGTTTTTAATAAGTTCTTATCAAAGGTTTGCAAAAATCTTACTACACATAAATTTGTAATTCAAGTGAAATAACGTTCGCGATCGAATTCGTTGGTATTCGTTGATGTTCTGCTACCATTACACGCGAGAGTACGTTGTACTGGGATCAAAGCGCAATAAGAACGTGTCGTAACTGGATACGTTGTACTATATTACAGAAGAGAAAACGTATTTCCTGAAAAGGTCCGTGTTTTATATACAGACCTTCTGTTACCGCGAATTGTTCTAGTTTCGACTATTACTTGTTGAATTGAGTACCGATTTCGCTGAGCGAGATCGCGCGTACTCCCTCACGTAGACGAGAGGACAATAATCTCAGCATCGGCATCCTACAAAGACCATTACTCCTGCTCGTGCGACTCACGGCGCAAGCGAGTGACAAGAATCAACTTTGGTGCACGATGAAGTTGGTGAGTGTATGTATATGTGTGAAATAAATTAATTAACAGGTTTGTTGCGCAATAGTAGTTTTAGCACTAGAATCGTCACGGCGACGATTTCTTTGCGCTAAAACCTCGGTCTAAATAATGCTCAATATTAGGCTGCGATCGAGAATTGCGCTGAGACCGAAATTCGGTGGCGATTGATGAGAGTCCTAGAGCGATGGATCTTAATATTGTCCATTTATAGAATTAATCTAGTAGGAACGAATCGCTGGCGGAACTGTCGCGCATTCCTGTTGATCGAGCGTAACGTCGATCACCGGTCTATAATCCAGAGACACCTTAAATAAATGAAATAAGATTAGAAGTTGTGAAATAGAGAAGTTGTCGAATGGAAATAGTAAAACAAAAAACAATAATAAAAACCTACTAATTAATGTGAATATCGAGCGTAAGTACAAATTGAGAAAATTAAGAAAACGAGAGAAACGTTATTTATAAACATAGTAATTTTTAGATATCAATATCTCGATTTGGTGTCTATAAATGACGAGTAAAAAATACCTCTCCTGTTCTCGGATTGATCTTCGACAACGTGTGTTTCCTCCAATGTTGATCGAAGGGTTTCGGTTGTTGATTTTCAATTGGTTTACTGTAATCGTATTCATCGATTCTCTGTTTATAATCCTCGCGAGCGTGCGCGCCACGACTCTCCTTCCTGTTCTCCGCTCCAAAGATGGTCTGCATCGCGTTGACCATGAGATTTTGCAGCTCAAGCGTCTCTATCAAATCGGAATTCCATATTAAAGATTTGTCAGCGACCTTTAGCTCGCCCAGTTTCTTGTAGAGATCGGTCATCTTCCGACAGCCTATGAAAAAAGTACATAATGTTTTCAATGCTGTTACACAACATTCATAAATTCTGCCGTGCGATTGTGTGCGAAGAAAACGTCAATGGTCTTTTTTTTTTCACCTTCTTTCAAGGTTTCGGCTTCTCTGAAGACCGCCGCATGCGTCTGCATGGTCTTCTGCATGGTCAGCCTCAATTCCGCGGTAGAGATGGAACCGTTAGCGTGTCTTACCCAGTCTAAATTAGCTACCGTCTCTTCGCCAGCGTTCTAAAACACACAAACAAGACACAACACGTTATGTATCATTTATCTTGCAATAAAAATTAAATGTAGTTTACACATATACCTATAACGTTAATAGAAAGTTTATATTTGAAATAGTAGAAACTTACAGGTTTTAGGGGTCCAATCGCCTCACCAGGCTTATTCTCTTGGGCAATAGTCTTAGCGCAAGCACGCCCGAATACGACTAAATCCAATAGAGAGTTGGCACCCAATCGATTAGCGCCGTGAACAGATGCGCAAGCTGCCTCGCCGCATGCATATAAGCCGGGTACTACTTTGTCTTGATTGTTCTCCTTGGTTAACACTTGACCTTTATAATTCGTCGGCACACCTCCTGTAAATTTAATGTTATTAGGCTAATCTTTTCCGTAGAATCACGGAAATTGCTGTGAACAAAACAGTTTGTGATAAATTTTATTAAAAAATTACTCTGTGTCACGTTTGATAAACTATTCAGAATATTTTCCTACTATAAAGAAACTCAACCGTGATGACTCCGATGGCGTCATCACTAGGAATGTCAGGGCTTTCGACTGAAATCATCAGGATATTAAGTGAAAGAAAAAACTCATCGCGTGACAGCTATTTTAGAGTTCCACTTTCATTGCAAAAGCGAAATAAAATTCATTTCTTTATTGACATATTGATTGCTACGCGCGTATAATCTGCGCCAAATAATATTTCTCAACGATGCTTTAATAAAAAATATTAATTGTAACATCCGCATTCCGCAATTAAGTATACTCTTTATTATAGTCCAAGGGTCGTCATTAAAATCAATCATTACTGATAGTCTCTCAAAATACTTTAGTTAATTATACTTACGTACCCATATTATAATGAACGGTGGGTAAGACGGGGATGGGTTCCCGGGTCACGTCGACGCCAGCGAATATCATCGCCGTTTCCGAAATTCCTGGCAACCGAGCGGCTAGCTGTTCAGGCGGCAGATGGTGTAGCTGCAGGTAAATATGATCTTTCTCTGGTCCAACGCCTCTAAGCGGAGAAAAAGAACTATATTTACCACGAATATTTCCGAAAACGCGACAAAAGACGCGCCTTTATTGGCCAATGACTTACCTGCCCTCTCTAATTTCCATTGTCATGGATCTAGACACCACGTCTCGCGATGCCAGATCCTTCGCTACCGGTGCATAACGCTCCATGAACCTCTCGCCCTCGCTGTTTATCAGATAACCACCTTCGCCGCGGCTGCCTTCTGTGATCAGGCATCCGGCGCCGTAGATGCCTGAAATGAATACAATGTGTTTTTGATTTGTGCAAATCAAGAAAGTACATAATATTAATTATCTAATAATTCTAATCGTACTTGAATACTGAAGATTTATTTCATTAAGTATTTAAAAGTTTCAATATTTAATTTCTCAGCAATTAAATGTTACTTGCATTATTGTCAATTTCTAAGAATAATCGAAATACCTCAAATCTATTTATAGACATATCAATGTTACAGCAATGTGTTTCTAAAACGTATTAGGTATTAGGTATTAGCTATTAAATATATACCTGTAGGATGAAATTGCACAAATTCCAGGTCCTGATTGGGCAGATTGGCCCTGGAGACCATGGCGGTACCGTCCCCGGTGCAGGTGTGCGCGGATGTGCAGGAGAAGTAGGCGCGCCCGTAGCCGCCGGTGGCGAGCACCGTGTTCTTGGCGTGGAAGCGATGCAGCGTCCCGTCCTCCAGGCAGAGCGCGATCACGCCGCGGCATTCGCCACCCTCCATCAGCAAATCGAGGGCGAAATACTCGACGAAGTAGTTGCAATCGTAGCTCAGCGACTGGCCATAAAGTGTATGCAGCAACGAATGGCCGGTCCGGTCGGCCACGCAACAGCATCGATGAGCCTGGCCGCCCTTACCGAACTTGAGGGATTGACCGCCGAAGGCGCGTTGATAGATCTTGCCTGGTGGAAAGAACAAAAATGGTCCGTAATTAATTTTTATTATCATGATGGATGATATTCTTTGATTTTTATTAATATTATGATAACACTGTAGAACATTTTTAAAACTTTTGTCTTAAATCCTTAGAGATTTAAATGTAAAGTAGATAAGGTTTTGTATTAAATATATATATTAAAATGTGATAAATTTTGACAAAGATAAATAATTTTAAGATTTATTTATTGTGAATCAAATGGGTTAATATACAATATACATAATGGATGGAATTCTAAAGCTCCTCTATAGGTATCCTTATTCTCTCCGTTCGAAATGAAACAGAGTCTGTGATGACTCGTTTCATTTTAGAAGTCTTATGATAAGCGACAATCTTCAACTGCATGGCAACCGAGCAATGACATTTGTTATTTCCACGATATTTCGAAAAATTCGCGTTTTACTTTCTCGGTTGCGGGGACAAATTCTTGCTTTCTACGATTACTTCTTATCTACAAGTAAGATGTATCGGTGCATACGTAAATAGTGATAGGGCAAATACACCTTTTTCGGGATTATTGGTAAATCATGGAAGACGACAATAGAAGGGAAGAAAATAATGAAGTAACGGCAGGCGTGGAAGAGGCTGGGACCGCAGGGCAACAAGAAAGAGGTTCTGATAATCAGTACCAACAGATAACAAGACCCCTCTCCTCTAGTCGTAAATGTACTCGAGACGAGTGAGTTACATAAACATAACCGATCTATAATTAAGTTAGACGTAATACATGACAGATGAACACACCTCCAGATTGCTGCCCTACATATGCATATAAGTTACATCTATTTCCACACATATTTAAAAAAATATGTATCAGATTCGATCAAATTTTTAAAAAATACACACATAATTACTTCTTTATTTTCCATTTATAATAATTGTATGATGCATATATGTGCACAGAATAGATTCCAGGCAACACGACAGAAAACCATCCCGCTCGCGATCAAGATCAAGATCAAGATCAAGCAAGCCTCCTCCACGGAGGAGGCAATGGAGAAGTGCGAATGCCTTTCTCAATTTTATGCAAGACTTTAGGCAGGTAACGAATCGCAAAAATGGCATGGGGATAACATATGCGAGCGTTATGTAAGTGGAACAAATTACAGGAGTATAACAAGCTGAAGGCAAAGGATCTGTTTCGCCTCGGTGGACAAGCGTGGCGACAAATGTCATCCGCGGATAAGATGCCCTATGTGGAAGCGGCCAAGCAACAATCGCAGAACAATAAGAACAATAAGAACGCGCAGCAGAACAAGCCTAACAGCAGCGACTCCTCGAAGAAAGCTGATGGTCAGAAGGACCAGAAAAAGAAAGAACGAGAGGTTCGTTCGAATTAAATAAGCATTCACTAATTTCCTACAAATTTTTCGGAACAGAATTAAAATTCTTTACTGTCTCTATATATTTCCTAAAACTTTGTCATTAAATTATTATTTATTCAATTAATTGCATATCAATAATTCATAAAAAAAAAAGGAAAGTTTAATATATATGTTTAATATTTATATGTCAAAGAAATGCAAAATTATAGAGCTTGGTAGTTTTACTAATTTTATAATTTTTACAATCTATCATTACTCGTAGATAACACACGGTTGTTTACGTTTCAGGAAAGGAAAGAAAGAAGGCGTTCAAGAAGCAGGGGGGACGATTCCGACGCGGAATCAGATTCCGCAACGTCGGGAACAGGCGCGACTATGACCAGCGACGACGTCTCGGATCTGAGTTCTTAGACGTATATTTATTAATCAAACTAACAGCAACAAGAACGTTTCGGAAATATGTACGCGAAACAATTAACTTCGATTACGTAACACTAGTCCTTGGTATCGTCTTTAAATTTGAATAAAGTCTAAGATGTCACAAAACAGGTTTAGTCTTTTTGGCCGCTTTCTCTGTATTTTCTTGCAACTCTCTCCACTTTTTAAAGTTAAACCGTCATACTTATTTGCAGATCTTTACGCTCGGACTCTATAACCGGCCCTTCTATATCGCAGATTCTGTCATAATTTTATTTCATAAGAAACCTTTTAATCTTTTTAAACTTTCAATTATTTCAATTATCTTTTTATTTTTATTACGTGGATATGTTATTTTTTAATATTATATATGTAAAATATAATTAAAAAATACACTATCTGGTCCATTGTCGCCACTTTCACTCACCGTCGGTGGTGCGGCTGAAGGGCATGCCGCAGTTCTCCAGCTCGATGACGGCCTTCGGCGCTTCACGGGTCATGTAGTGAATGGCATCCTGGTCGCCCAGCCAGTCCGAGCCCTTGACGGTGTCGTACATGTGCCACTGCCAATTATCGTCCTCCATGTTGCCCAGGGCGGCGTTGATGCCACCCTGGGCGGCGACCGTGTGCGACCTCGTCGGGAACAGCTTGGTGACCACCGCGGTCTTGAAGCCCTCGGCCACGAGGCCGTAGGCCGCGCGTAGACCGGCACCGCCGGCTCCCACTACCACCGCGTCATACGTGTGATCCACCAACGGGTACTGCTTGGAGATCTCGTCGGAGATCTTGGCCGTGCGATCTGGCGTGCGGTGAAACCTGCGGTTGCCGAGGAGAAGCGGCAGTCCCAGCTTGTTCTGCGGAAAGGAAGCGAAGCGGAGATACACCAAGGGCAAAAAAGCGAATCGTACCGCAAAAGATTACAATGGAGCGTGTGCTCATTAACTGATTCACTCGCTGGATTATTTAACGTAATAGCTGGCTGTAGGTATTTCCATTGCACATTTTGTAAAATTTTGTAATACAAAATTTAAAGATGTACGTATAATAAAAAAAATATATATATATTCGGATGTGTAATATAAAATTCGAATTTTATTAGGGTATGATAAATGAAAGAATTCTAAGCAACTAGACGGAATAAGAAAAAATAATACTGATAAAATATATGCGGATGTACATACAACGTAATATAAAATTCAAATTTTATTGGAATAAATCAAAGAATCTAATGTGCAACGATATATCTACCAGACACTGTTAAATTTGTAGTGTCAAATTATACTCAATTATTTTTAACCATCCCCATAAGTCGCCGCACTGCTCCTACTCAATATTTTAGTTCGTTTAGTTTAGTTAACTAAACCAATCAAGTTAAAATAACATTATTTTATGTTATAATATAAATTTCGATACACATAAATTAAAAATAACAAAATGTTATTTCACACAAGGTATTTGTTTAAATTTCATCCTTTAATATTTAACGGTGAACGGAAGAGAAAATAATACTAATATACCTATGTTTACAGCTTTCTGCTTTTATAGATTCAACATCACGCGGTCGTTTAGGAAGCTTCAGTTATTTCCTCTAGGATTTTTCAGCAAATTGTTAGGTAAGACGTCACGTGGACACGTTGTTATTTATAATGAGTCGCGAATCTGCGATTGCGTATACGCGAGATCGTATACGTATTCAATTCGACATGTTCTATTTATATGACCATATGGAGACAAGCATCGTCAATATAGACAAAACGTACCCTCATATTTCTTTTCAGATTATACATATTTTACATAATCAAATATAGTTGTACAGTATACTTACATAACTAAACAATTTAATGCTATTTGCAGATAAGATTTTACGCATTCTGCACGATCGCGCAAGTATTGCAAGAACATTGCGAAAGGCTCGTGACGAAAAATATGAATATTCCTTTTATTTATTCAGGATAAAAAGTGGGAGCATTATGCAGTCAATATAAAAAGATAAGATTGATGAGAACAGCGATTAGATAGTTGTAATACTGAACGCTGATTCGCACTTTACGGAAAGCTGATATAATCTGCACATTTTTATAACGTTTTTACGAAATAATTTAACGAGCGTGTACCTATACAAATAATCGCTTTAAAGTTATGTCTGCGGATAATTAGCGGGTTAATTAGTCGCCGGGAGAGAAACATCGATTGCGCAATGAGTCTCTTTACTTCTTCGCCGTGTGTATCGCGTCGCAAAATAATTAAAAGCGATAAACGCACCAACGCTCGGGGGACACTTGCAGAAAACGATAATTTTCCGTGGCTTATCGTCAACTTACGATTATTTGTATACTCAAAGATAAGGCGAAAAAAACATTTCCGTTCGATTTTGAGATCGCGCAGCGATTATTAAGGCCATTGCACGTAACAAAGTTTTAGTCATAATCGTAAAGCTGTAAGAAAATAAACCAATCACAGTCGATTATTCTCCTTGCGCTTGAAGAATAGTAAAGTGTGATTGGTTTATTTTCTTACGGCCTTAGAATTATGACTAAAACTTTGTTACGTGCAATGGCCTTTAATATCGTACGGTGATCTTTCGGAAAGAGAGATGAATAAATTCAACATCGCTGTACCAAAATGCAAAGCTCTCGCTCGACCTGAAATATTCCACGTTGACGAATCTCACCTCGGAAAATATAAAAAAGAAAAATTCGACTCGGCTGATTTGCTTCAATGTCTCAGTTTCGTTCCGAGTTTAAAAAAAAAGTAGCTTCGTTAAAAATTTAACTAAATCTACGTCGACGCGATCAACCGTTAAAGGCCGCGAGATATCGCGGAGGCGCGTCGATTATTATTAATCATTAAAGTAACGGCAGTGGATTTCCAGATGTAAACTTTATTATCTTTTTAATAAAACGCTCTCGGCGCGCGCGTATCTAATTCGCTGCCGGGATAAAAATCTTGATAAGAGATCTCGGCGCTGTTTGACAATCGCAAATATCTCGCGCGCGATAAAACTCTCACGTCCTAATGTGAAGCTTTTCCACAAAAGCTGCATTGAAAATCCAGAAACGAAGACGTGAAAATAAAACCCGATCGACGCAAAATCTCGCCAGGTGTGCCTCACGTTTATTTCGTATCAGTGAAAAATTGTCAAATTTAATCTCGCGAATTAATTAAAACAATTTTTGACTGTATAGTCAAAGACAGTCTATAATCCGTCTTTTCTGTACTGTTAAATATTAAAGGATTAAATTTAAACCGATACCTTGAGTTAAATAACATTTTGTTATTTTCAACACAAAGTACTTAGTAAGGTAAATGTCCCAATATGCCGGGACACTTAAGACCTATGTCTGGACACCTTTATCAATTTAATTTTTAAATAAATATAACGCGAATTAAAAATCAAAGATAAAAATATAATACAAGCAAAATATTTTTATCTTTGATTCTTTGATTTTAATTTGCGTTACAACTTATTTAAGAACTAAAATGATAAAAATGTCCAGATATAGGTACGGGTCCGGGTACATTTTTATACCTTATTATTTATTTTTTTAACTCCATTGGTTTAGTTAAATTAACGACATATCGAGTAGGAATAGACCTATTAAGAGTGGTGAAAAAATGACTCAAATGAATTATAATTTGACAGCACAAATTTAACAATATGTATACTCGAAGAAAACAATTAATATCGACGGCAAAATGCAAATCGAACGACACGTCCTCCCGTCGAGATTTTACCGAAATAGCCCTTCGCCGCCCTGGCCCTTTCGAAAAACCAGTACCTCGCCGGATATCGATACCTCGTTCTCACCGCGCGCGCAAGCTAATCGACATCAACGCCGAAACGCCGTAAAAGCGTATCTCGACTCGGGAACTCGGAGTATGCACGCTATCGAGCCATCGAGCAGCGCGCACCGTTAGACGCGAGAGCAAGCGGAGCAGCCCCCGTTTGACCGACGCGGCCGAGCATATGGAAATAGATCGGTTCCGTTCTACCCCACGGTGGAGTCTCTCGGGGGAACGGGCGACGACGGCAGGGGTGTTCCTCTTCGGCGGCTTGTTTTCCCCCCGCCTTCGACGAGCCGAAGGGGGATGCCGCGCGTATTCGGACAACGATCGCGAGCAACGACGAGATTCCGGGCGCGTTTCCGGACGCGCGCGTATTTCATTCGGTCGGTCTCGCGCACACCTTACGTAATTTGATGCGCCGCGTCGCGCGCCTCGCGGCGTGCAGCACCTCATCATCATCCACCGGCAGGACGTGGCGAATAAAAAATTACGTAACGAGGTCCCGCGGGCCTCCGGCGTGGCCCTGACCTACGTCACGAGGGTAACCCGTAACCCCCCTGCGCGGAGTAACGGAATCGGCCGACGGATCATTCTTTTTCTTCCTTTAAGATGGCGCGAGGCCGCTATAGGAACGTGAGGTTCTCTAGGCCCAGGTGTGTCCCTCTCCGCGGCGAGAGACACGTTCCAGTTCCGTCGGGGGGGATTCGAGTGTTTCGAGTTCCGGACCCGCGGGAAAGCCGGACTCTCCCCCCGCCCCCCGCCCCATCCGCGCGCCGACAGTTTCTCTCGGCCGGCCCCGCGCGTTCCCTCGCCGCGGGGTGGAAATCTGTGCGGTGCACGGGGAACGAAGCCTCTGTTGTTCGAATTGTTTCTCGCGAGCTCCCGGAGATTCTCACCAGCGTCGCCGCACCGGGCAGGCTCCTCGGCAGCAACGACGTCGACAGCTTCAGCATCCCGCTCATCTCACACGTCGCCCCTGCTCCCGTGCTTGGCTTCCCGTCCGCGATATACGGACCACCCCGACACAGACAGACGAACCCGCGCGCGCTCTCGCTAACACGCGACTGAACCCTCACCACCCGTTTATCGGCTTCGGCTTCGATCAGCTCGGCTCGGCGGCTCGGCACCGACTGTGACGCCGAGCGTCGCCGGAATGCTGCGCGCGCACAGTGCTGCCAACGCGCCTGAAAACGTCCTTCGAACGTGCGTTCCGCGGCCGCATCGCGAATGAGAAATATATATATGTTCGAAGATATGCCAGTTAATTTTGAAAATCGAGAGTCTAGATTAGAGAACGAATAGATCTTCTGTTCTCAATCCTTTCGTTGGTTCTAAGTTCTAACTATACATGCGCAATATGAAAATGTCACATATAGATATAGAATTAACTCTGAAAATTCATATTTATATTATAAATTTGTTTGTCTCTTGACTGCATATTTTTATTAAAAAAAAGGGACAACGATCTAGGAAATAAATTTACATAAATAAAATTTACTCTTTTGAATTAACTGGAACGAAATAGAAAGCCATATTGGGCTGCGTTCGATCCGACGATCAATGCCGTTCTAGGCCACCCGGTATAATTCGAACGAGGGGGCGTAACGTGGCGCGTAAAACGTGGACCACTTTTACTGTGAATATAAATTGAGATGTGTACATGTAGAGACTACAATTTCTCCGGCTCTAGAAATTCGCATTCACGATATTGAACTGTATTCTTATCTCATTGTCAACAGCGTAACTTTTATCTACATATATATGTCACGTACATATATGCATTAATTACCGTAAAATAAACCTGTTTTATATAACACAGCAATTTTCAAATAATATGTGCTCGATCGATATTTCATTTTGTATATTTTATTTTATAAAATATACTGTATATATACGTTATTTTATGAAATAAAAATCGTAACATTTTAGAAACATTTAGGAAATTTGCGACTAGGGTACAGATCATCATATATTTTTTGGATTTGCAGGCATGCATACCTAACATGGATATTTAATAGAATATTACATAAAGTTAGTGAAAATTTATATATGTCGTCTGTAAAAAGTTTATTGAGAGCATTTATCAGCGCAATGTCGTAATTATACTATCAGCGAAGGTAATTAACGCTTTATCTCTTACGAAACTAGGTTGCGGATGTAGTGACGTTGCTGAAACATGTTGAACCATGACCATGCTCGATGTCTCCTCCATATAAAAACAAAAGAAAAGGAGACGATTATGAAGTTTCATCAACATTCTTGCATAATTTCTCTATCAGCCTCAGCTCCGGCAAACAAAGTTCGAAGGAACGTTTTACTAAAATTGCTTTTAAGAAATGCGACTTTTTTGATTCGCTTTCTTCGTTACAAATTAAATTGACATAGGCATTAATTATTTTTGCCAGTAAACTACTACTGTAAATCGACGCGTGTCGCGTGCGAGGCAATTTATGCAAGGTATCCTTGTAAGATGAAGTAATATTTAAAAGTAATATATTTAAGGAAAAAATGTTTTTCGACGATTTTCTCGTTGCATATTCCTCGACTTCTGATGGTAAGTATCTACTTTACGTATTTCGTATGCCTGGCTCCCAATATGCGGGATTAGCGAGATAACGCGACAGCCGACTTAGATTCATAATTGCATCGCGTTTCCATTACGTTTCCAATTATCCGGCTACTGGCGATTACTCATTTCTTGGGTCAATATGCGCGAATTGCAGGAGGCACGTGCTGGGCTTCGGTTTCGTCTAGAGTAGTGTCGATAACGGGCCGATAAGAAATGTAAATCTGTAAACAGAGCGCGCCGTTAAAAATCGTACTAATCAGTAATAAATCATTGAATTAGAAATATTTCTAATAAGATGCAAAATGCAATGAATGCATTGAATCAAATGTGTATTTGATGCAAATTGAGAGACACATAGTCAGCTTTTTTATAAAGAAATATGGCTCGTGTAACATTTATTAGTTTTTTTTTACATGAGCAGGATTTATTAGTAATATATTTCATTATCTTCTGTAATAAAGTGTAAAAACTTTTTTGTATTTACTTTAATTTGTAATCTCCGAGTGGTTCGACTTTGTTTTACCGATGATACTTCAACTTCCTCGGAGAGGAATTTAATTTAATTATTATTATTTTTTTTTAGCATTTTAACTAACCGTTCCATCATCCTGAGCCCAAGTAAGCGTATGCTTACGCCAGTGTTCCGTGTAAGGTCGTTTCTTCTGTCCCTCGAGCGGTTTTGTATAGTCATATTCATCAACTCTGTCCTAGAAATGAAATAACCATTCACGAGTCTCTCTCTCTCTCTCTCTCTCTCTCTCTCTCTCTCTTTCGATTTCAGTCGGTTCATAATTAAGATTGTGTTTACAATTTCGAAAAACTGCAGCCGGCAGCATTACTTATTTGCATTAAATTACTCACTTGCATCTGTATAAATTTGAGATATTCTAATTTTTTTCCATTAATGTAATTCATCTATTTGAAACTCTACTTGACCTTATAGTCTTCCCTGGCGTGCGCGCCTCTCGACTCCTTTCGATTTTCGGCCGCGTATACGATGTGCATGCATACGAGCATCATGTTTTGCAGCTCCAAGGCCTCGACGAGTTCGGTGTTCCAAATGAGGGACTGATCTTGCACCTAAAAAAAAAAAAACATTCCAAAGAGATCCACACATGTGCGTCTGGATAAAGTGAGTCTAGATAAAGCGTCTCGCATATGTGTATCATCGTCTTATGCAACGACACGTCATTACGCCGCCGACCGCGATGTATAGCGGTACAATTATTCGTGCAATCATATAATCGGGCTATCGTTAGTTCCGGACTATAATTATGGAATGCCCGTAAATTCGTGAATCTGGGATTTATATAGAATAAAAAAAAGTAGAGTGTATTTCGTATAATATTATAGTCACTTATTCGAATTTAAAATAAAAAACAAAGTGTGTTTCCGTATAATACAAGCCCCTATAATATAAGCCTACTGTCTATAACATAGTCTTAATATATTCTCATTTATATAGTTTCGTCATTATTCCTTGAAATATATATATTGGGCAAATTGTATTTACATATGCATCTCGTTTATATGTTTTAAGCTTTTAAATATATTCTTTCTAAATAATTTTATCATTAAGACAATGAGGCGCGGTGATTAGCTTACGCATAAGTCTGGCAGATCGCAGGTGTAGAGACGGGACATCTCCCTGCAAGCGCGCTGCAAAATATCGCAGGTCCTTAGTACCCCGCAGTATTTCTGCATCGTATGTCTCATCTCGTCGCGCAGCTCGGCAACGGGAACGCAGCCTTTTGCATAACGGGTCGCGTCGAAGCGACAAATCGACTGCTCGCCGATGTCCTGCATCCAAATCACCATTTTTGATCACACGCATCTGTATGCTAATTCGTAACTCGTAAAAGGCGGACCTTCCTCGACCTGGACACGCAAGTTCTCGTTCCACGGCTTTAATATACAGTTTTAAGCAAAGATTTATCCGTTAAAAAAAAAATGTAAAAAAATATATAAAGAATAATAAATAAAAAATAAGGTAAAAATAAATTTATAAATATGTATTAAAAATTTATAAAGCAATTGCCACAATATAATTGTTTAACTATAGCAAAGAGACACTTTGCCGAATAATCTTAAAACATATTGTCGCGAAATAATCTAAAATATAATATCGTAGTTATGAGGATAGTAATTTGCGACACTGACGATATTGCGTTTTATTAAATTCGTGACCACACAAAAAGTTGCTTTTCGGAAAGATAGGGAAGAGAGGCATGTCCGAAATGTCCCATAATTTTTTTCTCTTACTGATGACAGATCCTCGTGACGTTCGCCAGGCCTGGCGATACAGTCGATCTGGTCGGCGATGGCTTTGCCGAAGACGACAATTTCCAGGAGGCTGTTAGCACCCAGGCGATTAGCACCGTGAACGGACGCACACGCGGTCTCGCCGGCTGCCCAGAGGCCTTCGATCGGTCTGTCTTCCTCGTTTTCTCTCGTTAATACCTGACAAGGTGTCATTTATGTCGAAAATACAATTACGTCAAATAACCGCATCGTAAACGCCGGTAACCGCCAATAATCTCTGTTGTTATCTGTGTAAACGTATTTACTTGGTCTATATATACAAATAATTGAGTACACACGTTTACTTTTGTCAATAAAACAATTCATGTCTATTTCTATAAATGTAGATTGACTATAATTTCGGTTCAACTTACTTTTTATCTTTTTTTAACTCTTAGAACTATAGAGAAAGATAAAAAGTAAAAGTCAAACCTTTTTTAAAGAGATTAAAGTTAATCTGCTTTGATAGAAATAGACATAAGTGTATTAGCGATAGTAATATATGATTAACTAATATTAACACGCTTGTTTGATGAATAATGTTACATATAATATCTAAAATAGTACAGCAATCAAAAATAAATATAAAATAACGACCGAAACGGTCGACTAGGCTGGCAATTTTTACATCGCTTAGTTAAAAGTAATTATAACAATCGTCCTACTAAGAAAATATAATTATATTTCTCACTTGGGCACGCCAATTTGTAGGCACGCCACCCATGTTATAATGCACCGTGGGAATCACGGGGATCGGTTCCTTCGTCACGTCCACGCCGGCGAACACCCAGGCGAGGTGCGAAATTCCGGGCAGCCTCTCGTGTATCAGCTCGGCCGGCAGATGATGCAACTGCAAATAAATGTGATCCTTCCTCTCCCCGACGCCCCTGCGAGAAATAGCGCGAGGCAATGTCATTTTCCAGCGAAAAAACGCTCCCACATGGGTCGCACGTGTTCTTATGCAACTAATTCAGCGTAATTAACAGTGTATTCCTACTTCCAGGAAGTTGAGATGACGAAGTCTATTACTTCTTGCTCGTTTGCTTAAATATTTAAGTATCTATTGGCATAGAAATTATTTAGTCTAAATAAAAGATTTGCGACAGTAAAGTCCACAGCTACCACAAAGTTGAAGTAAATTTTCTTTCATCTATCAATCCTACTGCCTTTATACAGGATGTTCTAAGCATCTCCGCGGGTTCTCCATCTTTTCTCTCATATTTAAAATACGTTAATTTGTTTGGTCTTTCAGCGGAAGGGGAAAAGAACGAGAATTATAGAATATCGCAGCAAACCTTCCGTCCAGTATTTCGGCGGTCACAGCTCTCGACACAACGTCGCGAGAGGCTAGATCCTTAGCCACCGGCGCGTACTTTTCCATGAAGAATTCTCCCGCGGAGTTGACGAGTTTGCCGCCTTCTCCCCGGCTGCCCTCGGTTATGAGTATACCGCTGCCGTAAATGCCTGCAGCGCGAGAAAGATCAGTCGATCAATTAAGAGGAACCGGATAAGGCGAACGGAGTCGTCGGCGGGGTGTGTAAGCCGATCTGAAAATACCGGTCGGGTGAAACTGAACGAACTCCATGTCCTGCAACGGCAATCCCGCTCGACACGCGATCGCCATGCCGTCGCCGGTGCAGGCGTGCGCCGCGGTACAGGAGAAGTAACATCTTCCAGCACCACCCGTTGCAATCACCTGCGAGATTTATATTGTTAATTAATAAATTCATTTGTATCAATACACATGGTCAAATATACGAGTGGTAATTAAGCTGCGCCGATGAACAAAAAAGTAAATTATAATTATATTGTATATCACATTATATTGTATACGTGTTAATAAATAATTGATGCGTTAACTTTTCTGTAAATAAAATAAAAAATATATAACATTGATCTTGTAGGCTTTTCTTACTGTATGATGAGCCCTGAATCGATGCAGAAGTCCAGTCTCCAATTCCCAGGCCAGAATACCTTTGCAGCATCGGCCGTGCATGAGCAAGTCCAGGGCGAAATACTCGATGAAATAATGCACGTCGTAGCGAAGACTCTGGCCGTAGAGGGTGTGAAGCAGCGCGTGGCCGGTTCGGTCGGCGACGGCGCAGGTTCGCTTAGCCTGTTCGCCTTTGCCAAATTCCAACGACTGGCCGCCAAAAGCACGCTGGTAGATCCTACCGTCTTCCGTCCGACTAAATGGACAGCCTACAATTTTTTTAGTATATTTATTTAGTATAAATTATGCATTAACATTGTTAACTCCAAATTATATATACATGTATAAGTTAATACATATTTTGTATTAAACAAAAATATTAAAAAACCACTGTACTAAATAAAAATACTAAGAAACACATAATTTATATATATTATATATAAATATTATAAATTGGTAAGATATGCATACTTCATAGATAATTAAATTCATTATTAATATTGATAAAATATGCACATATTAACATATACATGTATTGCATATAGTTTCTGAAGATAATTATATTTGTGATTTATTGGGTTTTACCGTAATTTTCGAGCTCGTAGACCACTCGAGATGCTTCCCTCGTGAGCAGATGTATAGCATCCTGATCGCCCAGCCAGTCGGATCCCTTCACTGTATCATACATGTGGTACAGCCAATTGTCTTTCTTCTCGTCGGCGATAGCAGCGTTTATGCCACCTTGGGCAGCGACGGTATGTGACCTAGTTGGGAAGAGTTTTGATACCACTGCCACACGGTATCCCTTTTTACCGAGGCCAAAGGCCGCTCTTAATCCTGCGCCTCCCGCTCCTACTATTACCACGTCATAGCAGTGGTCTATCAAAGGATAGTTCTGCAAATCAGTAGCGTGAATAATTGAGCAATTGAAATATAAATATGCTAATTGAAGAATTCAGAATAACCCATTATCAAAAGGCTCTAAAAGATTGAATGCGTTAAGAAAATATTTTAATTAAAATTAAAAATAAGAGATATAAGATTGATATTCGCGTTTTCAAAGATAAATATTTATATTTTAAAAGGGTACAAATAAAAATAAATTTATTTATATGAAAATGATTTATATAATCATGTTAGAAAATAAAAGAGGAAAGAGTGAGAGTCTAGCTTTTCTTTTATATGGAGTATTTAATTATCCACGAAGATTTTAATTAAAGAATTTTAATAAAATATACTTACACTGCCGCTATCGTCCACGCCGCACTTTGCCTTTTCCGCTGGGCTAACATTTACATGAAAGCTTCGCGAATTTCTGATTGTCGCGCGAGACTGTTTCACGAATTTCTAGGGGAAAAAATCATTGTTCACTCTTAAAATTAAAAATAAGATGCATTTTGTATTAATATAATAAAGTCCTACAAGTATTCCACGCGTTTGTATTAGTCGACTGATCGACCGATGCAACATCTTGGCAAATATTTTCTAGGTTCGAATGCTCTTTGACAACTGTCATGACTGGTGAAGCTCTTTCAGCTTCTGCATAACTCATTTGTCAGCTAGTAAAACAAATGAAAAAAATTTAAATATATCTTTACCGCATTTACAAACTCATCATATACGTATATGATTCTTTTCGTGAACAGTTTTCTGATGCAGATTTTAGGGAATTAAGATAAAAAGGGTTATATATAAAATGTAGCATGGAAATGAAGGTCAAAGTTTCCTTTCAGAAAACTCGAGTATTCTTAAATTTGTATAAGCATCGCAGTTTATTGCACTTGCAAAAATACAGTTTGGGACGTACGTATGATTTATTCTGTTGCGTATATAATTAGTTCGAGATGCATTCTTTCAAGTTAGAAGTCGAGTCAATTTTGTCAAACGCTTATCGCAATTACTCTTTGGTATACATTACGAACACCAGAGAGCCAACGTGTTTGACGAATCACTCTTGTTAGAATCATATACAAATAATATTTGATTAGTACAGCTTGTAAAATGTTATCTAATCATTTTCTCGCACCTCGTTCACAACTTTGAAAAAAAATAGTTTCTCTCTTTTTTCCACAATTAAAAAAAATAGAATGTTTGACGAAATGTAATATAAAAAATGATGGAATCGATAACTTCCTTTCTGAATTTGAAACCTATGCCTTCTATGCCAGTAGACATTCGCGAAGGTCTCTATTTTTCTCTTTTATTTATCTCGAGACGTAAACATACCGATCTTATATATTTTTCGGAGCGTTCTGTATATTAACTCGGATTTTCAGTATGTATGTAATAAATAATCTTTTCTTACCGCATTAAAGAATAAATATGAGAGTAATACTTCGTAAGATTCAATTGTGCATTTCTATAATTGCACATATTTAATTTACTTATAATTATTTTCCTTTCTTTGCATTTTGCCGACACTTAATTTGCATTTCATGATTCCTCATTAATGACACGTTAATTGAGCGAGTGTTGATACTTGTATCAGTACGACTCACCTAATCACTAGCGATTTCCTAATCTTATTTTACAACCTTATTTTACAAACTTTGTTATACGACATTAGACACAAGAATCCTGTGAAGATTAGGCGAATTAAGCGAGTTGATAGAAATTTGTTTTCGTAGAATTAACCGCCTTAAAGTTCGGGAGATTAGTTGCTTTCCATTTACACTCAAGTGATAGTCACTCAGTTATGTGAGTATTTTATACTCAGGTAAGATATGTCATTTTGTATTTACCTGCTTATTTTGGTGACAAAGCTATCGCACAATAATACAGGTTCATAGCCTCACTTTTAATGTGAGTCTATTAGATTCATTAAAGCACATGGTCTCGATTGTGGATAACAACTCTGTTGAATCTCACTTGCCAGCATGCAAAAAGAACATGCATTCAACTGAGTTATGACGTCACAAGTAAGAATTATCTGAGTTTTGATGTAAATGGAAAGCAACTATTTATCTTAATATCTAGATCACTTATTAGCGCGAAGTGTATAACTAAATTTGAATATTAAAAAAACACAAAGAAATTCATTTCAATATATTTTTATTCTGAATAATATATTAATTCTGAATAATATATTATATTCTGAATAATAAATTAATTCTGAATAACCCGTGTTTTTTAAATTCATGATTCGCCACTCACTGGAGTTAAAATGGATTAAACTAAATATATAACAATTTTAAAGAGCGTTACCATTCACACTTTTACGAAATATATTAACATTGATTCTTCTTAATTCTCCTATTTTCAACAGGAAATATACTTGCTTGATTCTCTTCACTTGTATAAAAAGCTTATCAAAAAGTCGCACTTGTGAATTTGTAGAAAAAATCGAGGAGAGAGTCCTCGATCGCTCGGCGACTCTCGGTGTACACGTACATCATGTATGTGTGACAAAAAAAATCATATATATCGCTTACAAATATATCACTAGACTACTCAAATATAGCGAGCAAATCGACGCATTGTCTACAAAGCGAACTAAAGTAGATTAAAAAATTTCTTCTCCGGCGATGTAAAAACGCTATCTACTAAAATAAAATTTACTCTCGAAACTCTGAGATTTATAAAAGTCGCCTGAATTTTATAGCGATTATATTATCGTGATAAGGCAGTTAATCCATCGCCTAACAATCGGAGAATATTTTCAGAGTGTATTCTCGATCTCGCAAAATGCTTTCGAAAATGCAAAAATTACAGCGTACTTTTCTCTTCGAAAAATACCAATTGTATTCTCGATCTCGATAAAACCGCTCTCGAAATAAAAAATTAGAGCATATACTCTTTTGTCCAAAGAATATTTTTTCGGTAATATTTTCTTCTTCGGTTCGTTTTCTCCAAATATATCAAAAAATACAGTACGATTAACGCTCGGAGAACGACGTTCACAACGCGAGCCTCCTGACGCCGCACTCGCAGCAGAACTTGGCAGTTTCCGGAAATCGTTGACCGCACTCGTGACAGAACTTAGACATCTTGCACTTGGCCGCCGTTTGAATCGGCGACGTACCGTTCTCGGGCGCGTCCTCGTCGAGACGGTCGATCGTGTCGTTGGCGCTGCGTCCATGGTGTGAATATTTGCGATTTAAACTGGGGGGCACACACAAATCGAACTGAGCTTGAAGCATGCGAGAACAAGGAGAACGCAGATGTGAATGGACGATAATTATTAAGGATTACAATTGTTAGTCGTCAAAAAACATGTGACGGCATTTTTAGATTTGTATTTAGAAGTCTTCATATTTTATTAAATAATAAAGGTATCACGAATTAATAAATTTAGTTTTTGTAAAAATAACAAACTTTTTTTTTGTAACAGTTGTATTACTGTCATTCTGAAATGTCCATTTTTATCAGTGTAGATAAATTTTAATCTCGATTTAATTTACTTTTTATCTTTTTCTAATTCTTAGAACTAGAAAAAGACAAAAAGTAAGTTAAACCGAGACTAAAGTTAATCTGGCATTGGTGGAAATGGACATAATATTTATCTTCTATTTTACCGTTAACCGATCGATCGATGAAGGCGAAGGATGTGGGTAAACAGCAACTTTAAGGACCAACCTGCTGTAAGCGGAGTCGTTGCTGAGCTTGCTGTGATCCTGCGGCTTGTAGCTGTCGGGCGAGGACAGTTCCTCGTCGCTGATTAGACTGCCGTTTCGCTGTCTGTCGCCGCCGGGGCTGGACAGGTCGAAGGACTCGTTATTGAGGAAGGATCTCAGTCCAGGAAACGCATCCCCCTCGAAGGACGTCATCAACTCGTCGAACATCGAGTTCGATCGTTTGACGTCCAAGTCCGAGGAGGAGACGATCGAGTTGAGACTGAGGCTACTGCCGGACAGGGATGAGTAATTATTGTTTTTCTGATTAAGATTCTGGTCCGACGACCTTTGACTGTTGGCGATCCTGGAACCTTGAACCTTTCTCGCGTCGCTCAAGGTCTTCCTGTCGAGGCCCGAGTTGATCCTGGGCGCGGACGAGGCCCGGATCGAGCCGGATCGGTTGATTAACGGTCTCGTATTCTTCTGCGTTTCTTTGTCGAAGATTTTGCGCGGTCTATCGGCGCTGAAGATGACGCCGCGACGCTCGTCGACGCCCAGCGCCTTCGATCTGTCGATAATGATTCGTCTGCCCAATTCCCTGACGGGTTTCGGGCTCGCGGAATCTATCGCGTCTTTACCCGCGAGATCGGACTTCAGGAAGACCTCGCGCGAGATCGAGTTGGTCTCGGTGGAGTCGCTCGAAAAGTTGGACATGAGATCGTCGAACTCAGTGGGTGGCGCTATGAGGGACGACCTCCTGTCGGAGGGAGGATATTTTACAAAGGCGGAGGAGTGCGAGAGAGGATAGAGAGTATCGCGAGTCTGTTGGACTTTGGGACTCCCCGTCGTAGACTGATCGCTCGTATCCGACAGCAGGTCGTTCATCTGCTGCTCGGCCAGCAGAAAGGGATCGTAATCCTTGCATGTGCCGCTGAAATTAGAATCTCGATTAGTATAGTCTTTAATTCTAACTTTTTACATCAGGAACTTTCTTGCATAAAACAACGATACGAATATAGATGCGATATGTGTGACGACAAAGTATGTTTTGCTCTAAGTGTTCTGCTGTATAAGCTGTAGACGTGCGCCAATCAATTTTTCAAACGACAAACATTTACAAACGCGCATGCAAGCTCGGACGCGCGTGGTGCAATGTTATCCAATCTGCTTGCTGGACGTAAATTCTTTTTTGAAAAATTTTGAATCAATCTCTCTTTTGAGTTAGTTTAAAATAAAAAGCAAAATCTTGTAAAAATAAATAGAATTGTTGCTTTAAAATGAATTTTATTATGCAACAAAATTTAAAAGATGTAAAAAATAAAACTTTAGATATATATATTTTTTTAAATAAAGGAAGATTGATTCTAAATTCCAGAAAACCAATACTATATTCTGTCAATTCTATCTTCTATGTAGCGCCCTAAACTAAACTAGAATATGGATAATTAGCAATTAACATCAACAACATCCAAATAAAATATCTATTATATATCCTCCTCTTCCCATAGTGGTTCCACGTCCTGGAACTTACGTTCTAGCCTTAAGTACGAGATTAAAGTCCGGCCTTCTGCGTACATAATTGCACCAGGCGGGACGTGTCGCCAGATCAATTTTCCTATAATATTGTTGATACATTAACTACCTAACAACTACCTTACCAAATATACAAAAGTATGACAAATAAGACAAATAGAAATCAAAAGAAACGATTCTACCATTTACAGTGCAAATGAGCAATGCCGTACAGATTCTCTCATCAATTGCAATTTGCACAAACTTATACTAATTTAATTATTAATATTACAACATAACTCATAATCGATTGTGCGAAGTCAGCATTGCAACATTTTATACTAATCAATTTATGTCGAAGTTATATACGCTCCACTAAATATAATGAAATAACAAAAATAAACCAATATGCTACAGTACTAATAACATATTCTAGAGAATAATGTTAGAATGTTTAGCAATGACAACTCTACATATAATAAATAATTCCTATTACTTTCTCTACCTTCGATTGATTAAGGGTGGATTCAGGACAGGAGGGAGGATACGAATTCTAGGATTTCTCTTAGCAAGCTTGTATTCAGCGTGATACGCGGGATAGAGACTGGTTAGTCTGCTCCGCGAGACCTTGGAGGTCCTCTCCCAGTACGATCTCTCGGCATCTTCCCTCGTCTCCGCTGCGTCGTCCTTTATATCAGGTAGATCCTTGGACACCTTGCGCCGCCTGCTCGGTCTGATTATCTCAATGGTCTCTCGTTCGTAAGCGCAATTCGCTTCGGGCCGTCTGATGCTCGCGAGCTCTACGAATTCGACCGAGGATATCAGGGAATCGGTGCTGCCGCGAAGAAGATTCATGTTTTCCCTAATTCTGTGCTTCATCTCGATCGAATTGACCGATCGCTCTCGCGCGGCTCTTTTAGTCGCGCCGGAAGCGCGTCTTGGAAAATTCACGCTCGCGTTCAGAAAAATTTCGTTGCCGCGACTCCGTCGTGACTCCTCCTCTGCGTAGTCTGTCAATGTGACTGATGATCCTAAATCGTTAGCGCCTCGCGCGTTACGTTCCCCGACACGCGCAGTATTACCGCTACCATAATCAAATTCGCTGTCTATGTTCTTCTTGCGCGAAACTTCACCTGTCGTAATTTCCGTTTTAATAATTGAACGACTGAGGAGCCTTGATTCGTCGTTCGAACAGCTGTTGTCTGAATCCACGTTGAAATCTGTCTTTCTATTTTTTGTGTTAGTCTCGATATTTTCAAAATTATTGGAACTGGAGTCTTTTTGTCCGTTGCCTTTAATGTGCACAGGTATGTTATTCATAGATACATTTGAGTAATTACTAGTGGTAGTTTCCAAATTTCGTGGAAGCGAGTATACTTCAGAGTTTAATCTCTTTGAATTTCTCTTAGGCTTTTTATTACAGAGTTTGGTTAAACCGTCCTCAGAATTTTCCTCAATTATTTCAGTCTCTTCAGCATTTCTTCCACAATTTCTTTCTGAGCTAATACTTCGACAGGATGCAGGAAATGATATTTCTTTGATATTTCCTGTTAGATCTAACGAATTGTGACAGCTACTGCTTTGACATGCTAGTGTTTCATCTTCAGGACTCGAATTGCAATTAGCTTGATTATTGTTATTGTTTAAAGATATTATTTCATTTATGTTAGATTGATCGCATATAAAAGTTACTACGCTTCCTTTCAATTCAAGTGAATTATTGCAACATACACCACTTTCGCATTGTGGTATTTCATCCTTAAAATTTAGATAATCTTGACTCTGATCAATAAAATTCTTTTTCTTCGATGCAACTGAATGCGTTTCGTCGAACGAGGAAGATTTAATTATTTGATCAGGCTCGGATAAATTTCGCTCAGTTTCTTCGGTATTGTTTGTACTTTCAATAATTCTCATATCCATCGCTACCTCTCGATTTTCTTCATCTTCTTTATAGACACTTAGTCCATCCAATTCTGCAACATTTGCATCATACATTTTCTCAGTTTCTTTCGTATCTTCAGTATTTATTTCTATTTTTTCAATGTTACATTCTGTAACTTTAATTTCTTCATAACTCGCTCTTCGCTTATTTTCCTCCTCTCTGCTGTTTATATTAAGTTCCTCCGTTTTGCATGTTATCTCTTCAATTTCTTCACTACTCATTTTCCGATTATCTTCTATATTTTCATCATTTACTTTCAACTCCTCCGCTTTACAGCCCACCATATTTTCATCATTATTTTCTTCTTCATCTTTAATAGACACTTTTAACTCTTTTATTTGTTCGATTTTAGTCTCTTCGTCGTTCGCTACAGTATCTCTCCTCAATTTTTCTTGATCGAATTCGCAGATTTCATCTTCCTTATCTTTTACGTAAAATTCTACGCGAGGACTATGCTTAATCGGCTTCCACTTGCTGTGAAAAATCTCAATATCCTCCGAGTCTCTTATCAAGTATGTCTGATTTAGATTCTTAATACCGTCCAACCATGCGACGTCACTGTTCTTCACTTTATCAAACTCGCCGTCTATCGATTTGTCATCGGTTCGATCGCTTTCTGCAATTAATGAATCTTCTTCCATTCTATTTCTGTTTTCATTTCCTTTCTCTCGATCACACAGTCGCTCAAGATCAAGCAGCTGGAATTCCCGTGAAAATTTATGATCAACAACGAGAGTGTCAGCTTGAAGAGTATCCTTCTTACGGCTGATCTGCTTCCACGTTACTAACTGATCGTCCTTTTGCATGTCCCTGTGTATTCTGCAAGGCTGCACAGTCATTCCTAGAACTTTATCGTTCACGGCAATGTCGTTGATTCTTGGATGACCCTGACTTCTGGCGGAAACAATATTTTTTTGCATCCTGGCGGGACAGGCTTCTCGACTTCTCGCATCGTCGTTTTGAATGCGTTGGGAGATCGTTTCGTTTCGGTCGAATTGCCTTCTGGACGAGGCAATTGGCGACGTGATCTCATTGGGGGAGACCGGATTGTTAATCCTAGGTCTCGCAGGAGGTACGGGAAAGTGGAGAGAACGACGGGAAGATGTTGCAGGGTGGAAGGATCGGCAGGGCGTTGATGTCAGTAGGGAATCGTGATCTTCCTCCGGTCTGAGGAGACGGAAGCAGGATCAAGGGCATGTGCCTGATAGTCATCAGGAGAAGGTTGTCGGAGTTAAGTACAATTTTACAAAATAGATAATTTCGTGAGAAATATTTAAAAAATGTGTACTTGTGTTTTTTATCAGATATACTTCAAATGTTCTTGTTGTAAAATCAAATACGAATATTTTTATACATTTAAATTGTCTCGCTTATTTTTAATCATTTAAGCAATTAATCATAGATTGCTTCTAAGCACCCTCGTCCTCTTTCCTTCTCCTCATGGGCGGCACTAATAAGTCTATGCTATGTTCTACGCTTATTTTATTTGATGCAAGCCATAGATAGTTTCGGCCTTTTTTTCAATATTTTATATAAAGAAGTTGATCGAAATCTCACCTATTCATACGATCGGCAAGGCGCGACTTCATAGGTCCGGATGAGGTAGGGGACTCCTTGAGTTGTCCAGGACGCCTTCTGTACAAATATAAATATGTCAAAATAAGTGGGCACCAGTTTGACAAATTAGGAAATTAAATTTACCAATGAGAAAAGTTAGGAAATCTGACTTACACGACGGCAGGTTTCTGCTTGACTGGACTCTCTCGATTGGAATTAACGCTCGAGATACTCTCCTTTGGTTTAACGAGCGCCGGTGATGACACTGAGGTCTTGGCGGCCTGATTCGCCGTCGCACCCGGGCTGTACTTCTCACGATTGATGGCTCGCCGATTCTTCAGGGTTGGCGCCCTGTACCTCATGCGAGCCTCTAATCGCTCCTTCGCCAGATTGGTCGCCGGACTCATCGGCATCCGAGTGACTCTGTCTTTGCACCAAGCCACGTGACGGTCATAGGCTTTGATGCCGAACTGTCGGTTGCACGTGGGACACGTGCCCTTCTCGTTAGCGCGTGTCGGCGCGCCTGACGGAGTCAGCGAATTGCATTGTTTGTGCGAATCCATCTGCAAGAACAGATTGTGGAGATGTGGAAGTTTCATTTATAAATAAAAGATATGAAAACAAATGATATTTTGTACAACAAATTGTACAAAATTAGAGATTAATTCCTTATTTTTAATGTAAAAATACTTTTTTCTCTTTATTTTTTTTTATTTTATGTAACGCACTCAAAATTATTTAACGTAAAATTCAGTTTAAGAAAGAAAGAAATCTTCCTAAAATAATTAACACGTAAAGAAGATCGTGAAGATCGGACTCACGACTTCGCCGCGTGCCTCACGGATCGTCCGCAGGAAGTCGTCGTGGGTTTTCTTCCAGGAAGGCCTGGTCGTCCTCTCGTCCTGGTGATGACGCCGGACCTCCTGCTTCGGCAGGAATTCCGCCAGCTCGGTGCCCTGAATCCTCTGCTTAGCCGAGTCGAAGGGTTTGCGCTTCTTGGCGGCGGCGCGCTCGCATATCCTCGCGTGCTTCTCCAGCGACTCCGGCATGAAGGTCCGCGCGCAAATCGCGCACGGCAGCAAGATCGGCGGCGGCGCATCTGCGTCCATTTACACACGGTCCAACAATTAGTGGGCCCCCGCAATTCAAACCCCTCGCGTAATAATAGTAGATGTTCTATATACGTATAGATTTTCTTTTTCTCTCTCTACACGAGCAAGACCGCGAACTCCGATCCTGATGGCCACCCGCGGCTGCGTCCGTTCGTCGTCAAACGAGATGACTATTTTCTCCGCGATTCAAACCCGTTGTGTCTTTGAGATATACGATATGACGCGAACGCGACGCTCTTTTCTCACCGAATTGATAAATACTACACTTGCATTTTCTTTCTTTTTTTTTTTTATGTCCCATATACGCGATACTGCGGCATCTAATACGGAGATGCCCGGCGCACGCTAATACGGAGATCCGTTCTGACTCACCCCGTGGTAATCGCTATTCGCTCTGACAAAGGCCACGAATCCGCGGATAATCGATATTTTCGCCGACAACATGTCGAGAGATCGCCAAATACGACGACAGGTATGACACGTCACGTAACGAAACGCGCGCACACGTTTAGAGACGAAATCGTGTGAGTGCGCGACACGTGCTCGTCATCGCAGAGCTCGTCTCAAGTCAATAAAATCTAACATTTAACTATTTTATTTTTTATTTCTTGAAATAAATGCGTCTCTAAAAATATAGCCTGCGAAGATCTCCTTTCACTATATGTTCTACCGTGTTCTACACAATATGATTATGTTTATTATATTACATTTTTATCTTTCCAAGCATTTCGATTTTTATTTTTTATTTCTCGAAATAAATAAATATCTGAAAAATACACATTCTACAAAGATTCCTCCTTTCACTAATACGTTCTACATGTAATTTAAATTTGTTATACATGTTACATTTATTATATGCGTTCTTATATCTTCCCAGGCATTCCGTCAATAATCTCGCTTTCGTTCCCCCCCGGTGAGAAAAAAAAACGCGAGATCTCGGAAACACTGCGTAGCGAGATACAACACGCCGCGATTGGAAGTGTCGGGAATCTAAATTGCAAATTACACTTTCTTCGATCGGCGCAGGTATTGCGCAATGACTGTAGCTACAGTGTTCTCTTCTTGCGAGATCACTTCGAGAGTGCCCCAGTTATTACGAGCTATGTGTTACGAGATAACGCCACCATTCAATGAGCCATTCATTTTTAAAGACGACGCGAATCCTATATACGTTTCCTTTCCTACGGAAATTTCGACGAGACGGGCAGACCGGTTTTTGCAATATTTTTGATTTACGTCACCGTTTCAAGGAAAGCGACGAAATTCATTCCTCTAGCACGTGGCATACATACGAGATCGCAAAAAGTAAATAAATTTTCCACATATGCATGTATGTATATATAAAGCTTTATTTACTTTCATTAGATTTCCTTATCTCCATATTTAATTTAAAAAATCCTATTTTATCATTTTTTATAAGAGAAAAAAAAAATATCCGGAAACTTTCTTCTATTCCTGTTAATTCACCAAAACAGCACTTTCGCACATTCGAACCAACAATAAGCAGTAAATTCAAAATAATCGACGCCTCCGCGACGCGGGGAATACAATACTTCTGCGGCACCACGGGTGATTTCAATCGCGCACTCTCTCGCGCGACTTTTATCCGGTCGGATCTCGCGTCGAGGGAGAGACTCTCGCTTTCTCGATTCCAGGGTAACGTTAAGCGGCCGATTCTCAGGTGCGCGTGTCGCGTGGACGCACCTGCGGCGCCGACTCGCGCGCCGACGAGGATGCCGAGGACGACGAAGAGGCCGAGGGGATCGCCCCCGCGAGAGACTCGGCTCTCTCGCCTCTCGGGCGAGCAAGCTTCCTTTTTTAGGCGTCATCGCGAGTTGCCTCGCCGCGAGAGTCACGCGTGTCCCCTATCCGTCACAGACACACGCGAGAGTGTCCGTTCCTTCCGTCCTCGGATCTTTTCCTCTCTTTATCGTCCCTCCCCTCTTTCCCGAGCGAGAGGCGACAGTTTCGTCACCTGTTATCGAGCTTTTTCTCGGTGAATTCGAACAGATTGTTCGATCGCAAATTGAGGGCTCGAAATTTTATTGTCACCTCCAATGCCGATGCGAAACGAGACAGCCAGGTATACGGGCTTTAGCTAAATGCGCCGCGCCACGAGAATGCGGTCGTCACCGTATTTGCCTCCGCGACGCAAATTTCACGTTATTATAGAATGCCTGTATAGGATCACATTATTATTCACGACATGCATGAAGTCCTTTTACATATCTCATCTTTTATATATCTCGTCTTTTACGTATCTCAGTCCATCGTACACTGTTAAATTCGTATAATAGTGTCAAATAATACTCAAATCTATCTAATTATTCCTATATATAGGTCGTCACTGCTCCTACTCAATATGTCGTTAATTTAACTAAAATAATGTTAATTTGACTAAACTAATGGAGTTGAAATAACTTTTTTGACACACATGGTAATTAAAAATAACAAAATGTTATTTAACTCAAATATCGGTTTAAAAAATTTCATCCTTTAATATTTAAAATACTACTATATCGCCCATTCCGTTCAAATCGATCTCTTTACGTTCCTCAGTTTTTCTTTTAATTTTCTCATTCCGCCACCGAGATTTTTGCCCCCTATTTTTCCACCTGATCTCCGGCAATTCCTCACGCGCGAGAACGTAACGACAAACAGCACGACGCTATTAAATGATCTCATCGCATCGACACCGCTTAGCGACGCCTACAAGTTGCTTTTGCTTACGTTTCGCTTCTAGAGTCGCGCACGTTGGTAAGAACTCTGACGAAGGTTTTTTTTCTTTTCCACGTCAGAGTTATTGCCGTTCTTCTCCCGGCGTCTATCGTCTTAAGGTCGCCGGGAGTCGCTAAGTCGGTGCAAATTGATCAGTATGCACGGCGGAGGCGCGTTATTACGATTCTCATAGCCGCTTTTAGACGTGCGCGAGTAGCAGGAAAATAAATATTTTCACTGACGCCGAATGTAAAATGAAAAAGGGATTCTTCAAAGTCGAATAGCTGTTCGAGAAACGAGGTAATAATGATTAATGATGATAATCGTGCGCAGCTATAAGCTATTCTGTTAATTTAAAGCTTATAAATCGCAGTTTATTTTAAAGAGAGAAAGAGATAAGAAGCGTAAGAAAACGGAGTTGTTATACCATTGTAATAGCAAATTTGAATATTTTTATTTAAAAAAATTTTTTTTGAAAGCGAAATCCAATTATATGACGATAGTAACGCGGTACCCTGCTATAAGAAGTTTATATTGCCTTATTTATTTGGATTTGGAAAGTGAGTTTGGATGTCAATTTGTACCTGCTCGTTGCTGAACGTAAATAAGCATTTATGACATTCTAAATATGTAACGTACAACATCAGCAGCGGCAGCAGTTAATTTCGAAAATTTCGAACTACATTAGTTTTCACACACAACATTTCGACCGCGTTACAATTTATAAATACCGAGTATTTCATTACCTAACGGTTTTTTTCTTTTTAAATCATGGCACCGTTAACACAGTTGTATTCTTATCGCAAAATACACTTCTCGAGATCAAATGTGAGGCCAGATAAGCACGGAGTACATTCTAATCCCCGACAATTCGCCGATCGTTTAGAAGACTCGAACACACTCGCGCGAACGACATCCGATAGCTCGGTAATTCGAGGAATAAATTCGATATCATGGAAGCGCGATACTGTGGAGCAAAAGACTCGGGCTCACCTTCCTCGGGGAACAGCTCGATCTGTATCTCGCGAATGGACGATAGACGATTGTTACCGCGCCCGTCGTGGAACAATACCCCGCCGTAGAACGGGGCCTCGTCGTAGAACGGGCCCCCGCCGTCCGCGAGTCTCTTCGGGACACAGCACAGCATCTGATTGCGAGCGCATCAAGACACCGACTGAGACTACCAGACCAGAGAGTCTGAGAGACCGCGCGAGGTCGAGCCGGCACTCTTGTTGTAAGAGCCGGGCGCTCTTACAATCCGTTGTAACCGCGAGTATCTTCGCGACGGAAGTTTATTTTCGGCCCCGACTCGCCGTCTCACAAAGCGAAACTCTACTCCTTCTCTCGTCTCTTTCTTCGGTACACCTTGGCCGCGCGCTGGGTAAACGGTACAAAGTGGGGACCAGAGAAGAAAAACATCCGACGGTTCCCATATTCTCTCCGATAAATGAAAAGTTAACTCTATACAACGTGCGTGTATAATTCTGATCTCCTTTTACGTAATATTAGAAATGGAAGATATTGCTTTTCATCGTCAAATATTCTGTTATCAACATTCTCCATTTTTCATTATTATTATACAAAAACGTAAATTTGATGTACTTCTTTAGTTGCTGACGCAAATATAAACACTTCAAAATATGGATAATAATTAATTTAAATTAAACTTTAATAATTATTTTTTTCTCTCTGTACAAAGACTCGCAATTTTCTTCGGCATATAACTCTTCTCCTACTTTATTTCTTCCTTCCATAACTACATTGGTAACCACAACAAACCGTTTATTCTAGGTACAGTAAACAACACAAGGCAACGGAGAAATTAAATTATTATAAAAATCTACAATATCCTCCGTTATAAAAAGAAAAAAGGGAAAATATTTATCCAACCTAATTCTTTTCCCTTTAAACGGCTAGGCTCTCGAAATAAAGGACAAAACGTAGCGGAGTCGGAAATATCTATAAGTACGCTATTAAGGCCACAAGAGATCTAGCACGTGCATCTCTCTCCCACGCCACGAGCACTCACAAAATCCGTATTAAAGCCGCTCCCTATTACGAAATAGAGGTCGATAGCTTCTCCGCCGTCCGGTTCCCCGCGATATTTCTCGTAACTGGTGCACCGGTGACCGCGGCCGCCGGTTATCCCTATAATTAGAATGGACGGGGACCGTCCGCGCGGAGAGCGAGAGCGCGCCGAAGAACCGGAAGCGAAGCACACGACGACGGTGACGACGGTGACGGGAAAAGCCGCGGAGAAAGCGGGGAATCGGCCCAGGGATCTCTCGGCTCCGTTTGTCGCTCGTTCGTCGTAATTATGCACGCGCGACAATGCACACTCGCACGTACTTACCCTCAGCTTCAGCCATGTTCGTCGTTAAGGGAAACACTGGTCGTTATGGAAACGCCGTTCCCTCCTCGGGACGGGGATCGCGGTGCGCCCTTCTCGAAACCCTCTCGCAATATTTCCAATTTAAACCTACTAGCGGGTAAAAGGAAATCTCCGCGCGTGAGTTCTTTTATGTAAAATTAAAAACAGACGCGTCAAAAAATTTCAGAGTTGAACCGCAAAACACAAAATTAAGAAACTAAATTAAGAATTAACGAAAGTATCCACAGAAAAGATCTAGTTCGTGAATTACATTTAATGTATTTTTTATGAAAAAAGAAACGCACAGATAGCTCAAGCGGAAAGTAATTTAAAGGATATCAATTAATATTGTCCTAGTATATTTTTCATTGTGATATATATATGTATTCTTATTTCTAGAGTCCGTGGAATTTACGGAGTATAAACTGTTTCGTTTTTAATCTTATTTGAAATTGTTTTCTTCTTCCTTTTCTTCTCTCTTCCTCATTCGGACGTACGTCTGCCCCTTTGGAGCACGCTCTTTAAATACGGACTTTGACATCTGTCATTCACAGAGATCTGTTTACAGATCTCCCGAGAACCGCGAGAAAGGGTCAGCTGATCGCCACGCATGCGTTGAACATGCGCAGGGTGCAAGATGAATATGTAGAGGGTGACTTCGACCAAACCCCGATTAATCTAATTTGCAATTAATTCAACTGGCGCAATTGCAAAACATTCAGCTTTATATAATTCGTTATTCCTAATTAACCAAAAATTAATTATTTTATTATACATAAATTATTTATATATTAAACAAAATGTTAAACAGATATTATTGCTTGATAAGTTGATAATTATCATTGAGTATATAATTGTAAGTTAATCTCAGTTGTTATTAATTAGTATTAGAAGCACGATATTAAAATAAATATTGAATTTTATTGCATTATTATTTTGTTGGTGTTGAAATTTTTTGTAGCGTTGCAAAGAAGCTTTTATCAATCTCGAGATTGAGCGAGTTTTGCTCAATTTTGCTCAAGATTTGCTATTTTTACCGTTCATTATTTTACCGATAAAACAAATTTCAATTTCGAAAAAGTTTCCTCCTTCGAAACTTCGCGGGCGACAATTATGTCATGTATTATCGCATCGCGTTACGGCGTTGTTTATTATGCCTTGGGATCAGGTCTCGCGTCAGTATAGAACGGAGTAGAGTTCGAAGTACGCGATACGATACACGTCTAACCTAAATTCCTTATCTGGAATTTCATATGTGAAATACAGTGTCGCGGCGAAATGATAGCCATCTCGAGATTCGCGATTAGAAACGGCTCCGCTGTTTCCCAGGTACTTTATGCAATTATGTGTTTAATTTACCAGAAAAACTACATAATTATATAATGTCTGTGTACGACTACATCATCATTCGCGATTATACACGTGCACGTGTGTGCGCGCGTCATGCATCATGCATGTCGCAGAATTATTTCACACGCGCTTGCTCGACGTTGATTGGCTCGTGAGAACAAGGAAGAATCGCGGGAACATTTCAAACGGCGCGCGAAAATCCGATTTCTCGCCAGCCAGTTTCGCGCTGTTATCGATAATTATTAATGTAAATTGTTGACCCACATTTATCGTTCAATGTTGCAGGGAAGATACATCGCAAGAACATTATCCACCGAGAAGAAATATGTAGAGACGACTGAAAGAAATGGGGTAGAGATATGATTTATTTTTACTCTTAGAATGTTATATCTAGAAGCGTTTCCTTTTATCCTATTTAACTCTGCTAATTATTATATCATCAAATTTGTAATGAAAATCTTAAAAATTGAAATTTTAATTACTATATTATTTACAATTTTCGCTCGTTTATAACCTTAACAATAATTATTGTCAAATTTTGTTATCTTAAAATCCCAATTCTACCAGCAATTGCAATTACAATCCACATACACACTCTTTAATAGTTATTACAGTTATTATTCAGCTTGTGCCATCCGCGAGACTAATTAACTTGTTGGCTTTACCTTAGGTCAGAACCATTCGTTTGAGCGACTCTTCTTCGCGCAACTCCTTATCGTTGGAGATGCTGAAAACCCTGGTGAGAGAGATCAAGAGGGACGAGGACAACAAGGACGTCCGGTCGATCGTACTAACGTCTGAGCCAGGGAAGGTGTTTTCCGCTGGGCACAATTTGAAGGAACTGGTTCGTAGCGCTTGGTCTCACTTTTTTTACAAGTGCTCTTCTTCGTTGCACGGAAAAAAGGGATCATCGGCAAATTGCATCGTTTAGACGGCTGTAAACGCCAAGTCCCACAGAGACGTATTCGAGATCTGTTCGGAGCTGATGCGGGCCATCAGTCAGAGCCCGGTACCGGTGATTGCGGCGGTGGACGGTTTGGCAGCCGCAGCCGGCTGTCAATTGATCGCGGCCTGCGACATCGCGGTGTGCACAGAAAGAAGTTCGTTCTCCACTCCAGGGTACTACTCTTCGCTTATCGTCATTTAATTACCATCTTATTAGTATCTCATCGTCTACTCATCTCTCGACTATTAATTACTATATAGTTCTGTATATTATTGAACGCCATTAATTGCTATCGTCTGTTCAATGCTTGATCGCAGGGCGAATCTCGGGATATTTTGCTCGACGCCGGGTATACCGCTGGTGCGCAATGTCCCAAGGAAGAGCGCGATGTACATGCTTTTCACAGGATTGCCGATTTCCGGCAGAGAAGCTTACGAGTGCGGTCTCGTTAGCAAAGTCGTGGCGAACGACAAGCTCGGTGAGTCGCGAAAAATAATCAAAAAGTCATTAGAAAAATATAAAAATTAAACTAAAGAATGGTAAAACTAATTCGAAAATATTTAGAAGTTATTTAGAAACGTTGTAAAGAGATCTCAAATAAATATTTCCCTTTCCTTTATTGGTATTTTTTAAGTTAGCGAGGAAATTATCTCCTACAATTATAACATACATATATTAGTATATGTAATATGTACTAATATATATAGATATATGTATATAATTATATATATGTATATTAATAATAAAATAAAAATATTAATAAAATTAAATAATATTATTTAATAACATAATAGTGTACGTTTACACAATTAATTTTGCACTTGTATAAATATTTTGTTATATTTTGATTTCAGACGAAGAAGTTCGTCGAATTACAGACGCAATCAACACAAAAAGCCGTTCAGTCGTGCATATCGGTAAAACGTTCCTGTACGAGCAAATAACTCTTGATATATCGACAGCGTATGCTCTGGGTACCGAGAAAATGGTAAACAATTTGAAAATGAGAGATGCGCAGGAAGGAATACAAAGTTTTCTGGAAAAGAGAAAGCCCAATTGGTCGCATGACTATGAGAATAATTAATTATATCTATGTAATGTTTTTTTCATATGTAAAGATTTTTTTTACAATTAATATTAATATGATACTTTTTACTTGTGTATAATTTCAATAATAAAACAATTAAAAAATATTTTTTTATATGTAATTTATGTCCTTGATGACTTAACTTTAGGTGTTTAGGTGATACAATAAAACAAACAAATAATATCGTTATCGCCAAAAATAATAGCGGAAAAATTGTGATCGTGTAGTCAAAAAGCGGAATAAGCAAAGCTCGTGAGATAAATTCAGGGAAGGAAAATATATATATTTTTCCTTACGTTGCATTTAATAAACAAGCTAGGTGAAATTACCAAACATAACAAAGTACCTACTTCCAATTCTGACCAACAAGTATGTTAATTAAAAACAATATGAAATTAGTGGCTTAATTATATACGAGCATGGCTGAAACAACTTTTGTCAAAGAAAAAGTTTGTATCTTATAATATGTAAAAAATTGATCAATCATCAAGGAGATATTTACTCTTTAATAAACTTATAAATTCTTAATCGAAAGAAAATGGTTTATTTGTCATTATTGAATTTGCATTACGATCATAAAAATTAATATTAAAATTCTGTGTATTTTATTGACAATTTATGTTTTTTCTACAAATGTAGATTACCTTTAATTTGCGGTTATTCTTTTTCTAATTATTGAAACTAGAAAAAGATAAAAAATAAGTTAAACCGAGATCAAAGTTAATCTGTCGGAAACTGATAGTTCTATAGAAGCCAAGTTCATGGATCAGATGATATGTTAAAGAAAAATATATATATTGATCAGTATATGTGTTTATGTTAATCCATATCATACTATCCACGGCTGCACTCGGGGAGCGCGCTATTAAGGCCCGGGCACATAAAAAAACTTAAGCAATAAGACGTAAGCAGTAAGGAAATCAACGGTTTTGAAAATACAAGAAATATGATATGGCACATAATATTTATTATTTAACTATTTTCCAAAATTTCCCATAATTAAAAAAAATCCCGTATAATTGAAAAATATTATCTTTAAAGGATCTTTCTATTTTGTAAACTTCTATAATATTACTCATTTCTAAAAAGTAATTAAGTAATAAATTAAGTAATCAAAAAAAAATTGTTATCAATAAGTTTCAAATTTCGTCAAATTTTCCATTTATCGAACTCTTCCTATCAATCGCAAATTAATTACAGCGGATCAATTGGAAGACTATGTATCGAATCATGCAGAAAAATATATTTATCACGCAACTTACCCAATTATTTTATTTAAACGCTGAATTATACTAGAGCATATATTCAAAACACTCACGTGCATCATTGATGCGACTGCCCTATTTATGATAACCGACAAAGAAACTATTGGAGAAACATTTATATCAAAAGAAAAAACATGCGGTGAACGTTCGTCGCAAGATTCGCGCGTGGTAAAAAGCACGAACGTCGTTTATTCCTGGTCTCGTTTTGATAAATTTGTTTGTTGCGATAACGCTTTGCCCTCCTTCGCGAGAAATCTTCGTTTGTGGTCCTCATGCTAAACCGATACGAAAGATGACGTCGAAATTTTTTCAACATCATTTCTATCTGATAAACGGTTAGCAAACGATCGTTCTCTTTCTCTCCTGACCCTCCCGACTGGTATCCTGACGCGTTCATGATAAGAAACGTAAGCTGATTCTACGTTTGGTACTACGGTACTACGGTATCGAAACACGAGAATATTTCAGACGCGTGTCGTTTAAATATTATTCTTTCCTTCTACAATCATTCGGACGCATTTGCATTTTTAAGCTGTCGTATCGTGGCATTCGTCTCCGTTAGACGAGTCAGACTATACGATACTAAGTTCTCGTTCACCGAAAGACGATAAGACCGCGGGTTCGCGGTGGTCGAGCAACGTCAGCACGAGAATCTCGAAGTATCGAAGGCCGCCGATACGCCGTTCTTATTAACCGCAAATAAAAAAACATTTCTCTTTCTCCATCCGTCTCGGCCGCGCTATCTTCCTCGATGTTTCTCCGACCGAGCTTATAAGTGACGACCGCCGTCGCGCCGGAAATCAGTAATCACTTTGGATTATTCTGCAGCGTATTCCGAAGCCGAAGAGAAGCGCACGCACGAGTCGCACGAGTCGCGAACAAATAGCGCGACGCAAAGCGAAAGTACGACAAGGACAAGGACAAGGCTCTCCCTTGGTTGATGAATCTTACCGAGGCCATCATCGCTGGCGGCTGCCTGAGGCTCGAGGCTTCCCGGAGGAACGAAATTAGGAAGACAGGCCGGGACAGGAAGAGAGGAAGCACGCCGACAGCAAGCCTGGCGACACGAAGACAATTAACAAGAAAGCTGATAACAGAATTGCTTTTCGAGAGTTGCATTGGTCAGTTGGATTCGGCAAAAAACGTAGAAAAACATTTGCGTGCAATGAGAGCGCATCAGTTTTAACAGCGCTCACGAATCCCTTTTTGTATACGGGTCAGCTCATTTTACGTCCGCTGTACCTTGTTAAATTCGTAGTGTAAAATTATACTAAATTTGAGTCATTTTTCACAGTTTCTACTCCTTTCGCCACTACTCCTACATCATCTGTCGTTAAGTTAACTAAAACAACGTTAATTTAACTAAACTAATGAAATAAAAATAATACTGTTTTGTGTTCAAATAATAAATTTTGGCACACATAGTAGTTAAAAATAACAAAATATTAATATTATTTAACTCAAGGTATTGGTTTAAGTTTCTTCCTTCAATATTTAACAGTGTATCCTAACAGCAATCCTTTCCGCGGATTTACGAGAGCGAATCAATAACACAGGCACACAAAAAATAAAAAGTGTCTTGGCCGAGACACTACACTAGTGTATTCCCATGTATTTTGACCCGCTGAATCCGAATCCGAAGTCAGAATTGTCAGATTGGCTCTCAGTTCCGAACAAACCTAAAAAAAAAGTGTTCGTTTCGTGGAGTTTTGAACTTTTTTTTAGGTTTGCTCGGAACTGAGAGCCAATCTGACAATTCTGACTTCGGAT